TGCCCTGCCGAATTTCCACATCATTCTACACTCGAAGGTCGTGCCCTGTATTCAAAACTTCGCCTGAACAAAAATTGAGCAGACTTCTTTTCAAACGATGGTTTAAAGGAAATTTTTTTCCTGAAATTTAAAGTCTTTACAATAGGCATCTCTTTTTTCTTTGACGAATGCATATTTGTTACGAGATAAAATGATAGAACTTTCATTTAATAGCAGCCTTCTTTTCAAACGATGGTTTAAAGGAAATTTTTTTCCTGAAATTTAAAGTCTTTACAATAGGCATCTCTTTTTTCTTTGACGAATGCATATTTGTTACGAGATAAAATGATAGAACTTCCATTTAAAACTTGAATGATGATAAAAAAATTCTGTGGGATAGTTTGTAAAAGCTTCTAAGAGGCTAGATATTGACGTGCGGTAGCTCAGAAATACAAAAAATACCGTCAAGATATTAAGCTGGGCACTGAACCATGAAAATTCTGAAAGTCTACAGTTTTTGTCTCGATTTTCTCAACGAGGTTTTTTTGTATTTTTGTTTTAAATTTATACTAACCCAACTTCTTCTATCAACATATGAGCACTCTGATCTTATTGTTGAATAGTTGAAGAACTCAAAGGCTTCATTCAAGAGTTTCTTAAATGAAATTCTTAAAAAAATCGACTGAAGATTGTTGTTATAAGTCAAGTCTTTCGTGCTCGATTGGTTACATCCATCCTCATGGTTGGGAACATATTGATTAATCTTAATTTATTCAAAATTGCATCTCGTGATGTGCGAATACTGCATCAACAACGCGTTACAACTCGTGTTTTCATCATGTGTCTTAGTGTTTCTTTAATTACGGTTAGCTTTTATATGTTCGTTTCTATTTAAACCAAGACTATTATTGTATTAAATCCATCTCAAGCAGATTATAAGCGTCTTTGTAAGAATCATTCGGCTACTCTCCGTTGTGCTTGTTCACAGCCCTTTATTCCTTATTCGAACTTTGTTCAAATTATTCCTAATTTTCATCAGTTTTGTCCGAGCAACATTATTTCTCCGACTTGGTACAATCATTTAGTGCTATCTGATGAAAATGCCACCGAAATCTCAATTGAAGAATGGATCAATATAGGATCGTTCTACTTTCAATTACTAGCTTCATTTTGCTATCTCACACAAACCACTATTAATGATACGTATCGTATTTTTTCGGTGAACAAATTCGTTAGCTCTGTAGTTGTGCCCGAAACTCTCTTTTTAGAACAAGCACAAGTTTCTATCGATACTTACACCGAGTCAACCTATGCTGAGTTTACATGAAGCATGTCCTACGTTCGCAGTAGCATATATCTGAATCAATTCGTAACTGCAACGCTCACGAATGTGAATTTCAATGTAGACTCAAGTGGTGAAGTTGAAATGAAAGAGGGCCATTTATCGATTCCCATTACAAATACTTCAGACAGTTACAACTCTGTATGTCTATGTATTTCTCAAGGTTTTTTGTGTGCATCTTATGCATATTTTTATAATACATCGGCAAATATGAATATGGTCTTTATAAAAAATATTTTCATCCGATGCTTTTCCACGGATTCAGAGCTCCCATCAACACTGGAATGTTGGTGCGATCGAGCTAGTTTGGCTCTTCTCCGTTCAACTTATGCTTTGAGTAGTGTCTCTGACTTGATCAATATTGAACCGCTTGATATCCATTTTATGAGTCGGTTTTCCACTAATATCTTAGTTAACGATATAGTGAACGAGCTGCTCCTTGAAAATTAGACAGCGATTATTTCATATGGAAACTTACAAAAGTTATGCTCCTCTATCATGTTCTTATATGATTGAACGACGTTTTGATTAGTCCATTGTTTTCTTCATAGTTTTATCTGTCTATTCTGGATTGATCAAAGGTTTGCGTCTAACTATCCCATTGGTTGTTCAACTCGTGTTAATTATAGTTCGACGAAATGGAAACCGTATTGTAGCACAAACTATATCAACAGTGCAGTGTTCTCAGTCTAACGGTCAGTAACA